CAGAGAGGATTCATAGGGGGGAACCGATAGAGGACGGCTTGTACGGAGTACGGGGCTCCCTTGTACCATTGGCCCTGGCAGATATTGAAAGTAGGCATCATAGCCACGCTGAAGTTGAGTTAATAATGCTGTGGGTGGATAACTATTGACCACGATCTATCAAGAATAGAACGGACGTTTGAATAAATCGCCGGTCTTCGATATTGTATACTGGTGAGTACTGGTGGTATGAGTTGCCACGCAATTTTTTTTTGTTTTAAAAAGAAGCATCGAAGGAACGTCCGGGTAAATGGGGCTCGATCCTGCTCTGCCTTTCATGAGGAACCTGGACGAAGTCGCACACATGGATGGTTGTGCTGACCAAGGGACCCCCGTTTGATTCCTAGATTCCGTCTGCCTGGACGAAGGCTGGAGCCAGGTGGCGGCGGGCAGAGCTGAAGCCTGGGGGTGACACACCTTCTACGTATTCTGAGGACGCAACGCGCTGCAGGTTGCGTAGCAAAAGGGTGATGTAAAAATTCATGATGGACGGATGACGTTTGGATGTTCTTTCATTTTTTTTATTTTTCTACAGAATATGGTCGCCCTTTGATGCAGAGACAAACAAAACAAACAAGAAGAGAACACCGGTTGGACCCTCCAAAAATTCTCCTGGGGCAGATAGTGTTGGGGGGAATGGATTGGTTCGTCCCCTCTACTACCAGTCTACCAGCATGGCGCTGGTGTGAGAGAGCTCTTTTGTCCCAGTGGCCTAACAGATAGCACGTCTGGTTGGCTGGTTTGTAATAACCAGGTCTCCTCTCGTGCTTGTCGAAGAATTTTTGCCGTCTCCTGGCTAGAGGTACTTGCCGCTATGCCTCGGGATTTCTCAGGTGGAGAATGCAGCTCAAGGAAGACCAGCTGTGTATTACCTGTGGAGGCATTGGTGGAATTTCTGGAAATTTCAAAGAAAAATAAATTTCCACTTTTCTTTTTGTGTTCAAACCCGTCTGGAGTCCCAATAGATTCGCTGAAGCCCCATCTAAGCGGGAATTTTTTGTGTTGAGTTTTCGTTCTGCGGTTAGTCAATTTTCGACGACGCTTGTGATCGATGATGATTCTGGGCCTTTTTTTTTTTTTTTTTTTTTTTTTTTTTTAAACAGCCTACGGAGTACTTTCTTTTCTTCTCTTCTGTCCTGGCGGCGGGCAGACGGCATTGTTCATACTGTTCTAGGGTGCTGCGTAGAATCTTTCATCCTCCACGATTCTTCCAGGAGAACAAGAGCTCCTTTGCGTTGCAACCGCAACTTTCTGGCTGAATGAATATCAAAAACTTGACAACAAACATTAAACAGTTGTATCAAAACATAGGCTCACCGGAAAGTTGCAACAGGCCAAGATCTTGAAAACTTTGTTGTGTGGAAAAATGGTAATACATGTGTATTGAACTTGGTTTCACCTCCTATGAGGTAATTGGCCCCAAAAAAAATACCTTCCCTAGTGTCATACTGGTAATGTATCAGTATTGTCATCACTCCTCATGAAATTTCTGACTGTTCAGGTGCTCGTTCTCAGGACACTGCATGGGTCTCTCATTGGGTTCAGAATCATCGTAGTCGTAAATTTAGCATCCCGCCTAAAGCACAACAGAGGGTTCGGGGTTGCTTGCGCACGGGTGTGTGGAACTTATCAGCAACGAAAGAAGCCTCGTAAGGGGGTGAGTGGCACGCGGTTCCTGAATAATGGCTACCTAGATTCCTTTGCGTAGGCTGCGTACGATTTCTCCCATCATCATTTTGTTCGCGTATTATGAAAGCTTCCGAAAGGGAAGAGAGGTTCACCTCCGTCACCCATCCATCTTCAGGGTTCCCCACCGGATGAGCAAGACCGATGTCCTTCTCCATTTGGGGGTTCTGTGGTTTCGAGGAACTTCGTGGCGCAGTCTTCTCGTTGTCTAAGAATAACCTTCCTTGGGATCAAACAAGCGAAGGAGAGGGTGGCATTTTGATTCTCATCTTCCTGTTTCTCGTTCTGGCCTCGGGCTGGTAAATTGTGGTATGGTAATGTTACTCCGTATTCTTGACAATTACGGGGTTCTGGCTGTAAGCCGCTTAAATCGTCTATTACGGCTATATTTAAACGGATACCTTGGAGCCGTAATACGAAGTATAGATTGCGTTTTTTTGGTAACCATGGTAATCATGACTCCCCTTTAGGACTTCTTTTGCCTCTGGCCCTCACTACACAACCAACCTCACTCATCTCTTCCAACCTCATCCGCTTCGCATCTCTTATCCTCTCCTCTCCCTCCTCACCACGACCTCCTTTCAATCTCTCACCCAAAAGTCAACCTCATCCTCGTCCTCATCCACCTACTTCCTTCTTCCGACACCTCCCTTCACTTGTGCGAGCTTTTCACTAAGCCTCGTTGAGTTTTGTTCCTCCTTCATCCGATCTCCCTCACCCGATTTTCCTCCTCTCCGAGATCCGAACTTAGGTTTGGTGCTATGGCCCTCCCTTCCAACCGGCTCTAAATATTTAGATTTTAATCTACAACAATTCTATTCGATTAAGGCTCGCTCCTTTTTTCGTGTTGACGCTCTTATCCGGACTTTCGTCGCTAGCATCAGTCGGCCTTACTGTTTTCACTCCCTTTCATTTAATCACGTTATTGGATCGATTCGCCTCAAATGCGGCTATTTTAAAGGGCCCTCTACCTTGTGAAGACGTTTGAAGAGCCTAGGGCTCGTCGTTCGTCGACGAAACCCTTGACCCTCTTGTGCGTTAGTGGTCGTATAGCGGTTAGTCCATGCTGGGTTTTTTAACGCCTCTGGAAATTGAAGAATCAATTTTTGGGGGAGACTAATAATCTAATATAATCTTCCCTCAAGCCGCAGATCTGCACGGGTCTACCTTTCCATCATGCCGTCGTTCTTCTCCTCTACCTTTCCTACCTTCCCTCCCACTCCACCTCATGTTATTGGCAGTCGTCACGAATCAGAGACGCTCTTCTACCCGCCCAATAATTCCTCCCTAGTCATGAGATATCCTCAAAACGGCTATGATTTTATCGAAAAGTACTCGCAGACCGCCAGCTACCAAAGCCATGGTCCTATGACCACGCACTCGCAGCCGTTACATTCCGTACACGGAGGTCGGGACCTGGGTTCTGCTCAAACGATGGCTTCTCACCAGGCTCTTCCGCAATCCATGTATGGTACTTTGAACCCTTCTATCCTGCCTCCCATTCGTTCAAGCACGAAGCTTCCTCCGATGGAAAATGTGATTCCTCCCCAGTATCGCCGGCAAGAAAACCTTTTTCACCAGGACTCTCGACCAAATGAGGATAAGCCGACCGGAGGAGTTGCGGCCCACTTGGATTACGAGATGGATCAAATGTCGGATTTCGTGGCGGAAATGGCCCAGGGAATGTATGCTTTGTATATCTCCAAGATTGTACTTGCAGATATTGACTTCGCTCGAAGTGTTTATCCAGGAACAACAGTCCCTCCCCAATTCCGAAAATACGTCTCGCAAATTCTTTCTTCAACTCGCCTACCTAGTTCCACCATTCTTCTAGGACTTTACTATTTGGCATGTCGAATGCGAATGCTTTCAGCAGCCGATATATACAAGTCGGGAAGCTCTCAGGTCTACCGCATGCTTACGACTGCTCTTTTGCTTGGCAGCAAGTTCCTCGATGACAATACCTTCCAAAATCGCTCCTGGGCTGAGGTCAGCAATATTCCAGTTGCAGAATTGAATGCGATGGAATTGGAGTGGCTTTTCGGGTTTGATTGGAATATCCATAACCGCATCCACAACAAGGAAGACGGTTTCATGTCGTGGAAAGCACATTGGGACACTTGGCGTGTGAAGGCTGATGCAAGGGCGAACGAGTCTCGGAGTAAGCTCACTCCGATTGACACAAATATCCAAAGACAGCATGCATCTCAACAGAAGGCACTGCTGTCCCCTGACGGACCAATCCCTCCTCAGTATCAGAGGGGGGGTGCGTGGTTAAACTCCAATACGTCGGATTACTCTCCCTCTTCAGCGCCCCATAGTGGCCCTAACACGCCTGATTATTTCTGTCCTGCCCCGTGGGCATACAATAATCCACCACCACCATATTCACGTGGCTGGGTCGTCCCTCAAAAATATATTCCTCCAGCTCCCCGATCTCAACCGCCATCCTATCACCACACCCCGTCCTACACCCACGCCTTCTCGCCAGTGGCTTGGACTGGCCATAGATCATCCTGTGGGTGCTTGTACTGTGCGAAACATCAAGAGCATTACTTGCATACGGTAGTTTTTGGCATTCAACCTGTCGTCGGTTAATTTGTGACCTGTCGATGATCTGGGGTTTATTATACCCTGCCAATTTATCGTGGAATGCCATTGGAAATCACCCCTCGTCTACTCTTGGAGTGGATGCACCTCGTCGTGAATGTTCTTCGGCTCTTTATTCGTCACTACCTTTCGACCACTTTTTTTCACCTGTTATTTTGGTACATCCGGTTTTACGATCCAATATATAGCGAGACCATCCATATTACGCCTTGTCAAAAAAAAAGGATCACATTATCTTCGTTCTATGCAGTCCAACCGAAAAAAATTGCTTTTTTTTAAAAAAAATTATATCAGGAGCCCGGTGAAAAGCGAGCGAGCATCTAGAGAATCTCTTCGATCTATACCCATCTCCTGTTCCTTCGGTCTCCGATTTTAATACTTTTTCTACGCAAATGAATAGTCAATTCGAGACTACCGAAATCGCGTTCCTAGCTCAACTTTGAAAACATCTTGTTTGTCTTGCCTACCTTCCTTACCTACGCTTTGCGGATGATTTACGATTTTATTTGTCGTCCTTTTTCAAACATCTTCTCCTTCGTGCTTTCGTTGTTTTCGCTTTTTCCTCTGGTATTTCTTCGCTTTAATACTTGTTCCATTAGCCATTGAAGGGCACATCAGTGTGGTTTGCATGCTATTTTTCCTCACCACGCTCTCCTTTCCCTCATCTGTTTTCATTTATTTTCATGATAGACTTCTTCTATTTCCATCTTGTTTTCTCTCCTTTTCTATTACTTCTTTTTTCAAACGATTCACTGAGATTGATATGATTTTTCGTTTCCCTTTTTCACTTGATTGATTTCGCAACGTTCAAACCAGCATTTATTTCATTTTCTCCCAGATGTTCGTCCTATGTCGACATTTTGTGGTTGCGTGGAGTATCTTTCTTGTTCCCCCCTTATGAGCACAAAATCCAATCTTGTTTCTTTCCCTTTCGTCGTTTATTTTGTTGTGGATGGTTTCTAGGGAATTCTCTCCCAAGATGATCAACGGCAAGTATTTCACATTATGCATATCTTGAGCATCGTTGGCTTTGTTGTTTGGTGAGTATATG